CCTCCCTGGAAGCCAAGATGATGAAATTGAGGCTGTCGTACTTTGGACACATCATGAGAAGAGAGGACTCTTTAGAAAAAACAATAAGGCTGGGAAAAATAGAGGGAAGTAGGAAGAGAAGAAAGCCACATGCTAGATGGATGGACTCTATTAAGGAGGTCACGGGTATTAAGGGTTGCAGGATTTAAGCACAGCAGTGGAGGACAGAGGGTCTGGGAGATGTCTCATCCATAGGGCCACCATGAGTAGAGATCGACTCAAGTGCAGTTAACAACAATATATAAATAAACTAAACTAAACTATGTATATAAAGTAATAAAATATTATAAAAAAATAAAGAGAGGTAAGTACATAGGGATACAAAAAATGTAAATGACAGAAAACTATCTTGGCTAATGCTTGATCACTGAACGTGGACTTGTATGTTTGTCAGTATATGATAAGACATGACAAAACAGATTTCAATTTGCTAAGAACAAAAAAAAGAGAAAGAAAACTTGGGTCAACTTTGCCTGCTATTAATGTGCCCTGGACCTGGACTAGCCTGATTACCATGTGCTGAGCATTCAAAACCCATGCTTTCCTACTTCATCTCATAGTAACCTGCAACAAATCAACAGTATTTGCAATGCATGTTCTTATCTTAGCAAGCAAGTACACCTTCAACCCTGACTGCTGAAATCCTGTTACCTGCAATGCAACAACCTGAATCACCAAATTTGAAATGAATGAGGCTTGTAATGCCTTGGGGATAATATTTTAGTGCCTGAAAAATTTGACATTACATGCATTCAGAATATCTATAATCCAGCAGTGATGCACACAGCATAAGAACCAGTACCTGCAGTCCTCTGAGAAAGGTGGCTTTTAATTCATCTTTTAATAATAATAATAATAATCTTTCTCTCTTAGTGATGTTCAGACTAGGAGTGTCACTTGTTATGGAGACAAAAATCAGCTATATGCAAACCAAGAGGGAAATATGTTGGATGCGCCTCAATGTATACAAAACTATTCAGCCTTTGGGAGGAGGAAGGCTGATGTGTGCAGCAACCCTGAAATAGCTCAGTGATAACTTACTGTATGTGGAAAAGCCTAAACACTGACTGAAAGATATGTTTGTGTGAGGAATACTTGATTGAGGGAAGATGGGATGGAATGGCTATAATCCTGAACCTTAATACTTCACATTGCAACTTTTTGTTGAAAGCTTTACTTGCATGATCTAATATGCTACCTGTTAACCAGTGGATTAATCTGTAAAAAAAAATAGCATAAAAAATTTAGGACAAATATCAAGGTGCCCACTCTTGTTGTTGTGTGCCTTTAAATCATGGCTGGCATATGAGAACTGTAAGGCAAACCTGAATTTTCTGGGGCAGAGAGTGTGCTAGAGAGCCCTGACTCACACAAGGTCACCCAGTAGGTTTCTATAGCTGAGCGGGGAACCAAAACCTGGTTTCCAGAGTCATAGTCTGATGCTCAAACCAATACAGCCACAGTAGCTCTCTTATTCCACAACATTTCAATCATTTTTGCATTACTCCTAGGGCTGGTCAGCTGATTCCAAATGCAACTGACAGACTGTATGAAAGCTTATTTTTATTTCCAGATTCAGTTTTGAGTTGGAGCAGGCCTGAACTGAATGATGGTCAAATCCCAATTTCTGAACTGTATCCCAAACAGAGTTGCAGGGTGCGGGTGGTGGTTTACCCAACTCTAGTTAACACTTTCCCCATGTTTCTGCAGAAGTCTTGTTGGGTACAAACACTGCTGAGTTATAGCAGCTGGTATCACTTTAGGACCAATGACTCTGTGCTAGAGAGCCCTGAGATTTGTAGTCTGAGGGAAGACATAATTCTCAGAACTGTAGCTCACCAGAATTTTGAAACAGAGAATTATTAAGTACCTCACCAACTGCACATCTGAGAGTTCTGTATGGTGGAGCCATGAAAGTTAGAGAGTGCATCTACACTGTAGAAATAATGCATTTTGACACCAGTTTAACTACCATGGTTCTATTTTACAGAATCCTGGGATTTGTAGTTTTGTGAGGGACCAGCACTCTTTGGCGGAGAAAGCTAAATACCTTTTAAAATAACAAATTGCAAGATTCCAGAGGATGGATCCACAGCATTTAAACTGGTGTCCAACTGCATTATTTCTACAGTGTAGGTGCACCCAAAGTGGTATCAGACTGCAATAATGATGTAATAGCCTTATCACATTACAAAAATAAGTCAAGACAGAGTGGCAGAGAAGTTGCTTTCTGCTTACCTCTCTGCATGCCCTGGAAGCACTTTCATTCTCCTTCCTGGAGGAAAAGGTCATAACAGTGTGCCTTTTGCCAAACAGATTTTCTCAGCATGACAAAAGAGATGCTTTTATTATTGTATCTCTTGGGAAGAGAAAAGAAGCATATGCAAAGTGGTAAGCAGAAAGCCACTTTTCTGCTCTTCCATCTCAGCTTACATTTGTAATGTGATAAAGTTCTGATACAGCTAAACCTTTGGACACTGCATCACATCTTTACTATCTCCAGCTTGCGGCAACATCATCAGAACTTACTTATATTTTTCCATGCATAGCGGGGCCAGGGAAGGTTTCTGCACCCCCAGTCCTTCCCACATTCCACTCCCCACTATCGTCAGATTTGACCAGATCCCCCCCCAAGAATCCTCTAAGGATTGACCAGTTAGCCCCTAGAATTTCTAAGGAAGATAATTGGCCATTTTAGGACATCTCACTCAAGTCTGCCTAGAAATGGAAAAGGGCCTCATTGAGCCAAATATAGGTCTGCCTCACTCCCAATGTCTACCAAATGGTCCCTGGAGGTTTTCTGACCTATCTTAAAGCAAGGATTTAGGGGTTATAGGATACAAAAGTAATCCTTACTCTGCATAAAGTGATGTGCCTGAGTCACCATGGGAAGCTTCAGTTTCTCCAGTTCTTTTGTGCATCTCTTTCCTCTGCCTTTTCAGTGCATATGTTTATACAGTCAGACCTCCATATCCAAAAGGATATTGGTTCCAGCACTCCCCATGGATATCAAATTCTACAGATGATCAAGTCCCTTATATAAAATGGTGTAGTATTTGTGAAAAAACCATTCACACCTTCCCATATACTTTAAATCACCTCTAGATTTAATATTTAATACAGTGAAAATACTATGCCAATAGTTGTTATACATACTGTGTTGTTTAGTGAACAAATGGGATACAGAGCTGGAGAGAGACTAAGGATCTGTGAAGTGGTGGGAGGCATGGATTCACATCAAGCACTATGCTTGGATTCCCATTATTTCATAAATCCTACATCTCTCCAGCCTCACTTCTTGTTTGTTTGCTGTTTGTGAATCTGTGTTTGGTTGAATCTGTAGACCGAAAGCCTGCAGATATGGAGGACCAATTGCATTGAAAAAATCCCAAATTAAATTATCAGATATCGCAATATACCATGATGGAGCAGCCTCTGAATGGAGAAAAATGGCAGCAAACAGCTGGTATAAACTCTAAGGGTCTTGCTGATCATCTGCTTTTGAATTATTGGCTGAGAGCCTATTATCTGTTAGTGGAGATTAAAGCTCCACCAATGTACTTACTCTACAGGTTCAGAAGATGAAGACTTTTTCTCTGGTGTTTAGCTGGACCATCCCCAGATGCATCCCATGATCAATCAGTGACTATTTGTGTCAGGATGGTGGAACTGTTCCCCAGATCCCTCTGTCTGCTATATCATTACCAGGAAAAAGCATTGTGAAAGGAGGTACTGGATACCACCTTGTGCAATGTTGAAGGAAGTACTTAACACAGATATATCTGGGTGACAACATATGTCATAAAAAAACCACCAGCCTCTATCTCCAAGAAAGGAAGCAACAAATTAACAGGGCAGGAGGGCATCACAGCTTAAACTTAATTCCCATTATGGGAGAAGATAACAACTACCATGCTAATAAAATGGCATAGTATTGAACTGGAGCCTATTATCAAGGCTAAATAAATGTACTGAGCACATTCCTTATATTCCATTTTGACCTTGGCTGCACTAGCCAGGATATTCCAGGGGTAGCCCCATATCTTCCCTGACCTCCTGCCCCCTCCACCGCCCCATTACCTGGCTCTCTATTTCTGCACTTCAGTAACTGTCTGCATGGGCATCCTGTCAAACCACTTGGCACGTATACTGCTGTCATGGGTTGCCCACTTCTGGAGGTGGCAGATGCAACTTGGTGGCTCAGCAGGACATCTGGGCAGATTGCCACCACAGCATGGGATTGGATTTCTGGAAGATGTGAAGTAATGAGTAAGGTTGTTTTTTTTTTAATGCATTTTAAGGCTGTTCTGCCCTGGGTCTGGTGAAGAACATGCCAGACATCATCTGGACTGCTCATACCTGAACCAGGGTTTGGGAAGTGTGTCATCCAGACAGGATGGCATTAGTACCAGGCCTTCTGGCCCATCCAGTCAAGGCTTATATACCATTTTCCATCTGCAAATGGCCATCACTATGTATTAAATCTGTTAATATATATTCCACTGTAGAGAAAAGGGATGTACCTTGGAAGATAACTAGATGGCATCAGAACATATACATTGTTATGCAAATAAAGCTTTGACAGCATATGTTCCATCATGAATAATGAGGTGCTGTAGATGACAGAGATAGATTGATACTGATTATAACAGTCTATGATGAAAGTTCTCCTGTTTTGATTATCAAGTTGTAATGAGTGCTTTTGAGAAAAAGTAACCTTTGGGAGATTGAGTCTTGCCTATATGGGCAGTCTTCAAAGACCTGTATAGCCTGATGCCCATTAGAATTTTCTTTCAGGACATGTTATTATATAGACTGCAATGGTGATTATAAGGACATGTTTACAAGTTGAAATGAAAAATTAGTCAATTTTAAAAATAATGTCCATTCTGTCCAAAAGATTTTATCAGGCTAGTGAGTAAAACTGACTCCAAAACGTCATCTAAAGCAAAATGAAAATTTGAAACATGGCATAGTGGTTTGAGCATCAGACTATGCCTCTGAAGACCAGGGTTCAATACCTGCTTGACCATAAAACCCAGTGAGTGACCTTGGGCACGTTGCACATTCTCATCCTCGGGGTAGGCAATGGCAAACCTCTTCTGAACAAATCTTGCCCTATGGTAGGTTCATCTTAGCATCACCGTAAGTTGGAAATGAATTGAAGGCACACAGCACATACATAGTGATGGGACTTTGAAATGGCCTCAGAAATACAAATGAATATCACCTCCCCAAAAACTCAGAAAAATAGGTTTGCTTGTTATTGCTGTTGCTGTTGCTATTGTTATTGCTATTATTCATTTATTTCCTGCCTTTTCCCCAGACTGGGACATAAAACATTTTATAACAATGAAAAAACATTGCTAAACAGCCACAAAATACAAAAATAAAAAAAAAACAATTAAACAATCAGAAAAAAAATAAAACTAGCTTAATAGATATATTGCACACACATAAACCTGTACAGTGATTAGCAATTCCAGTATATCATGTAAAATGGGCCTTATATCATTACTTATCAAATGCCTGTTGGAATGATAAAGTCTTAGCTTATTTGCAAAAGGAAAGTAGGGAGGGTGCCTAACTTTTAACTTCTCTGGGAAGGATGTTCCAAAGCCTGGGGACAGCCACTGAAAAGATCCCTTCCCATGTTCCCACCAGAGGTACCTGTAAGGAACATGTGTTATACTGCAACCTATTTTAATAAGATTGTGAAGCTGACTGTTTTACACAGATCCTCATAGAGTTTTCAGATCTCCTTCTCCTTCTTTCTCACCCTCTTAATTTGGTTTGAGGCTCTGGCACTGGAAATATTGATATTTTCTTGATCTGACCTGGTACTTGAAAGATGTGGGTGAACTATTCAGGAGGAATTCTGGAAGTTGTGGTTTCTCTGTGCCACTGATAACTTAGATGTGCACAGAAAGGAAGGAGATAGTGAGAAAGGACAACTTTTTCTCCATCTCAGATTGAAACCTGAGCCAGAGGGGGGATTAAATTAATGTTTGCCTGATATCTAAGATCATCACCATGAATCAACACATTTTTATTCCCAAGAAAAGCAATACAAAATCATGCCATCAGATTAAGTTATCAGAATTTCTAAGGAGTTGGCATGTTTATTGAGAACCCCTAGACAACCATCAGATTTCATCTGAAGGAAATTAGAGATGAATTGGGAAGCTTCTCAAATGTTTCAGTTGAAAATGGATTAGGCAATGGGCTAGGCAAAGTGATGTTTTGACTCAGTATATGGCAGCTTGAAATTATTTATTCCTGGTATGGTGCTTTCATAACTAATGTAGGCTTTCAAACAAACCAAGGCAGATGGAAAATAACATGCTCTAAGGAGCTGAAAGATATATGTTTTACAGGGAAAATGCTTGTATAATGAGATCACATGGTTCTCCCTTTATTTCACCTTGCTAACAAGCCTATAAAACCAGTATGCTATTCAAAGCCAAGATTTCCATAACTGTAGCCACACAGACACACTCTGTATGATGCATGCTGAATGGAGCCCTTGCAATCTCATCAGAACTTTTGCTGCTAATAGATAAAGCTAAAGAGAAACAAACACCCTGTTATTTCTACCTGGCTAGATTTATTAAGACCCCAAGCTACAAAGCTCTCTGATGCCAGACTCTTACCTAGCGGGCTTTGACTCCTTCTGGGGCACAATTATTGTATCAGTTCTTGGCACTCTGAATAGAAGTAACTGCTAGTCCCTTGCATGATATAGTTTGGGAAGCATTGGGCTGGAGATTTCTAAGGGCCTTTGCAGACTGCCAGAAATAGTGCAAATTGAGTCCATGTTAAGGGTTAAGGTTAGTGCTAGGGAACCATGGGAATTTTTTTTTCTGAGACATTGAGCCTTCTCTGTCAGAGAGCTGTGGTGCCACAATAAAATACAGTTCCCATGATTCCCTAACCCTAACCCTAATCCTAACCCTTAAAGTGGACTCAATTTGCACTATTTCTGGCAGTCTGCAAAGGCATTTCTTTCCTCACTGTTAGCCCAAGGTCAGACTCCCAATCACCCCTAATATTTGCTAACAATTTAATATTAAAAAAGATGCTGGGCTGGGTGACCTGGAAAGGCAACCCCACTGGGGAAACCTGGCCATGCTATATTTGGAAATCTGGTTGGCTGTAGCAAAGGAGGAAGCAAAGGCACCCACCACAATGAGATCACTTAAGACATCAACATAATCCTTTTTTCTGTGGAGGGCGATGATGAGATCCTGGCTGAAGAAGGTATCTGTGCATACACAGACAAAGGATGCTTCTCTAGTACTAGAAGTTTTTCTTTGTCTGAGAAGTTCATGCCAATTGTCCAAACATTTCCTCAATCTCCCAACCATTCTTCTCTCTTGGACCATTTAGCAGTGAGTTAATCCATTTATTCTGACATTGCTGCCCTGGGATATGATTTTGATTATATATACCACTACATAGACACTAGCAATTTGGTCTAGTTTGGGACTGGGCAGACACTGTTCATTCTACTAGACTCTACTAGAATTGCCTCTGGAGTTCTGTGTGATTTAGAACCAGTATAAAAGGGGTTAAGATCCCAGGCTGGACGTTGCCCCAGCCAATGTATTTTATTTGTGCTATTAAAATTCCCCTAAAACATATTAATTTGTGGGTGTTTTCTCAGGATCCCAGCTTTCTAGGAAATATCACTAAACTACAAATTTCAGGATTCTGGTATCTAGAGCTATGGCAGTTAAAGTGGAATGAAACTTCTATAATTGTACAGTGTAGATCACTCAACAGTGTCTAGACAAGGATATCAATTATGGGTTCAAGAGCCCCCATTGGAACATGGCTATTTGGCTCTATCGAGATCCACACCCATGACCTGTAATTGTCATTTGCTTCTCTGCAAACTCATGAAACGATACTGTCCAATGTGCCAACAGGTGAGAAAATTGTTTAGTTCTGTTTGGTCTTCATTGATCCAATATGGATCTCTGATATCCAAATTCAATCCATGGTTTGGAGTCCACACATTTCTGAGCTTGCAGAACAGTTTGTGCAAGAACAAGAACAAGAAAAAATATTTGCAAAATTTAATTGTAGAGTCATGAATTTTTCCTTGCACTGCAAATATGCACAGTCTTAGCATATGAATTTCTGTTCATTTTAGTAGACGAAGGAACACCTTCTGGCACTTTGGCTAATATCTTAAAACAAGCATGCAGTTACAAAGATTGTCCAAAAACTGTGCCATCTTTTAAAAAATTGAGGGAATTGAGAGGTTTGGAGGGACTGGTGAGGGACTTTAGAAATGGGGTGAAGGGACTGCATGTGAACCATGAGCCACAATTGGCCCTCCGCTGTTAAAGCTTCACTAAAACCACTTGCGTTATCACCACCCCCATGTGAAAGCTAACAACATCCCTACCTGTGGACAGGAATGTAACTTTTTATATGCTTGCAGACAGTTGGGCCAAAGCTAACAAAATGAAATTCAACATGGAGAAATGTAAGGTACACCACTTAGGGCGGAAAAACGAAAAGTACAGATATATGATGGGGGACACCAGGCTGAATGAGAGTACCTGTGAAACGGATCTAGGAATCCAGGTGGACCACAAGTTGAACATGAGT